CACACATCCCCCGAGGTGGTAAGTTGGTAACAGTGTTCTAACTTTGGAACTCGGGGTCTAGAGCCACTGATAACCACTATAAAGTCCTGACTGCCATCGCAGTGACAGACAAAAGCACTCTCAAATTATTTCTTCAAATAACAATACATTTTGATATATTTGCTCTCTCGGTTACCCGTGATCTTTCCCCTTAGAAAACGTATGTTTACACTTTGTAAATAAATCAAAGGCAATTGTGTCAGGAATCTCAAATATATATCCATTATCAAAACCTATGAATCCAAATCCCTATATAATATAACTTAAGAAATATAACAATTTTTCTGAAAAGAAATGTCAGGTATCTTCTTCGGTCATCTGCGCAACATTCGCTTTGTTAATCTACTAACGGCAATGTTTATCCTAATCAGCTTGCATCTACTACATTGGTACGTATAGTATTTTCAATCAGCTAGTACGAACACCAATAATTTTGGGAGGTCATATACTGATTGGGATCTCGAAAACAATTGGTCAGACGTTCCTACCCAATAACCTCAAACACTCATACAGCAGTTTTTCAAGTTATGCTAGTTGAATGGTTGACTTGATGTCCCCAATTGATCATCTTCTGATCAATACAGTCCGACATGTGAGCGGTCAGCAACTACACTGAACTTTATTTCATGCCGCTTATCACTGGTTATTGTGAATACAATTAAATTGATTTGTCTGAAAGTGAACATCACTGGAAATTGGTTGCTTTGTTTCCATTTGAGCAGAGAACACACATTTGGTTGCCGTATACGAATGACGCATACTTTTGGTAAATACATTGCCACAACGATACTGTCCGCCACACCCGAAAATATCCCCATTTATTTCTGTCGAATGTCTGGACAGAAACGGATGTGAATGTTTTAAAAACTCGATTACAAGGTGATTCAACACTTACGTGAATGACTAATACACGTAAAGCGTATTCGGTTTTTATTTTTGGCATCAGTGGGGTGGTTACAATTTTTCTTTCCCAAAATTCATAACGCGTTTCCTGTATTGGAAGAAGAAAACAGCAGTTTGTNAATAGTCCCAAATTGATACCATACTTAATCGTTAATTATTTGTCGATGCAAAAACCTTTTTGGATAAACCGTTTGGTTTATATTTGCAATAATTTATAACATTAACTTGAGGTATTTTAACCAGTTTTGGTAACATTTTATAAACCAAATTGTACCTACTTCCACGAAAAGCGTCAATCCGTGTACACGCGAAAAGAAGTTGTTTCAAAGTATGGTGTTTAATTCTAGGTTTATAAAGTGTACCATTATACATGATGTATTTGAAATGCATAGACCCAGTTGGGTGGCGGAAACAGAATTTGAATTCACTTGCCCAAAATAAAAAGTTTCAAAGGCTATCTAAAGGCTACACATTCAACAGACCTGATAAAAACATCCACCTTTTGGCTACTCACGAGTAGTATAAGCATTCACACCATTGGAAATCGCCGTGATTTCCTCCAAGTGAATTCACGAACATGATGTCTTTCGATTGTTGTTTCTCAGGTGGGTCACACATGTTCTAAGTAAGTTCAGCTATGAAATTTCGAAAAGAACATCATCAACTAATTGTATGCAAGGATCAGCAAAAGCAATTGATTTCTGTCTCCGTCTCGCTGGAATGCATAAACGGAACCACTGTGGGGTTTCAAACCAACCCCAGGGTTCTAAATCGAATCAGAAACTAAAGTCCTTATAATCGAAGGTATCCGCAAAATACTCATTGAAAGATTGTTTAAAGCAGAGAATAAGTGAACTAAGATGGTGTTGGTTTCATAGAAGTAAGAAATGTAAACAGATCCTATGTCTGAACAGAAGAACGAAGACCGGTTCAATTCAAACCGTCAAACGTTTTTATTTATCGCATAACTCAGGAGTGGGGTTTTCTGCACGCACCCGGAGAGCATAAGGTTGGAGTCCGGTCAAAGAAGAAGAAACAGCTGCCTTGTGCTCTTTGTCGGCCAAAACATAAGCGTTCAGAAATACACCACAACATTGTCAAAATGGTTTCACAAAAGTCAGTTCAGTATACAGTTTGGACTATTGAGTAGTCAAACAAGAATCTGAGCATCCTAGAATAAATCTAGTTATAAAAACAAAACCAGTTATCACTTTTGTTCATATCAGTCAATTTCTAAGTTGCTAGGAATGCTGCTTGCTTTTTTATACAATTTATAGCATAAATTATATTGTTCTAATTTGGTAAAAAGGTGAACGACGATGCTGAATAATTTTTGGTAAGTCCTGTATCCTATCTTTTACTGTTCTGTTGCTCATCCAACTCGTCAGTTTATGGTGAACGCCAAGAGATGCAATACTACGGAAGCTATCCATGCAACAGTATCACAAATGGACTATGTCATATTGCAAGTGAGATATGAGAAATATTGGCAGCGCAGCAATGTAACTTACCGTGTTCAAGCAACTGACATCGGAACTCTCGTTATTTGCATTGCATCGATAAAGTCTGAACGTCTGATTTTGATTCACCGTGGTGCCGTTAAAACTGATTGTACCTACTGTACTGTTCCGTGGGGGTAGCTGGAAATATAAGCATAAGAGTGGATAACAATGCATTCCTGTCTTGAATGAACGATTCGCGATGACCATATAATAACAGCCGAAAGACAGTATTTAATTATGCTTTAAAAATATTGTGAACAATTTGACAAAGCAATTTATGAGAAACCTGAAGCTGATTGGGAAAACAATATGAAATCGTTCAAAAGTTGTTAAAATATTCATGAATCCTGGATGAATGTTTAAGTGATTCATAGTCGTGGAAATGCTCCGAATCGTATCAACCGTTTCTCAGTTCAACAATATATAATTAACAAGTAAACGCTACATGAAGTTTGTAGGGGGAGATTTATCGACATCCTTTTATTATCATCGAAATTACTTTAAATTCAACGCTTCAGACTTTATCTGCCAACCTGTTGTGTACGTGTCGTACTCACTGCAGAACGGGAGAATTATACACATAAATGTGTTTGTTTTATGGATTGCAGTATTTCATACTCGGTATACCGTGGATTAACTTATTTGCGTTTTGCAACTTGCAGTGCCCACTTTTGAAAGCTTGTGGCTTGGTTACATCACGAAATGGTGTAGATTACTTTGATTTCATTCACATGAAACATGGAGTCACGTACGCGTTTGACACTTTCCAAGAATTGTGCATGACGCGTCACTGGGTTCGCGGCAGCATCGCCTGGCTGAAACCACAAACCGTTGGTCGAAGCACCATTCATCGCAATCCCAGCAGTTACGACCGTTTCAAACGCGTACAGAGCATCCAGCTTGGTTCACACAGTTAGACATGTGACAAAAACAGAGACATGGAATTGGTTATAACATATGATATTTTGCTTTGTTTCATAGTGAATAACCTAAAGCTTAAAAGTGCACGGAAGAGAAAAAACGGCTTCTGGGGTCGGTTTTTTAAGAGCTCAGTTTGGGTTGAGTTCGAGTGGGGAATAATTCCTTGCTAAGCTTTGCATATTGAATGTTTCAATTCTCAAAAATTCATAAATAGAGGTTTACTTTTTAACTTGAATTAATAATCAGCATTGATGACTTCATGAAACGTCTCTGAAAGTGAAAAATTCATTTTGGAATAATTGCTGCCCCACACCTATTAAGTGACCCAATTAGTATGAAATGCTTGGGGATCACTGTATTAGTATCTCAGAAAAGAGTACCGTAAATCAACTATCTGAGCCGTGAACAATAAATATCCGGCCCATTCGCACAGAGAGTAAAACCATTCAATTCCTCTTTATAGGTATAGAACAGCTGGATTTTTATTTTTATTTTCAGAGTTGCTAGAAACTTAGTACATTCCAGGGCACTCAGTTCAGTTACTAATATGTATGAACTCCCCTGATTAGGCGGCACATTAAACCATTTAGGACTCACAAAAAGATAAATTCTATTTGGCTTTGCAGAAAAACGAGAACATGTATACGAAAACCTCAAACTGGTTGAATTAATGAACATATTCCATAAACTTTATGGCTATTATCAAGAGTTCAATTTGGAGAGCACTCGAGTCACCCAGTAATAAACCTAGCAATATACATACAGTGTTCGAAATAAAAGGTCAAAATAATTCCATTGTTGTTCAGAAGAATAAGACTTTACTGAAAGGGATAACAAACCAGTGATTATCTGGAGGTTTTCAGAACTTCTGACATTAGAAATATTTGAAGTTTTTTTTCTGGGAAGCGAGGGAATGTATGAGACCATGAATCGCGTTATTCCGCATAAATCATATCACTACTGCGCAACGAGAAGTACTGTACATCTGGCTGATTATTCTAGAAAATTGACAACTTCGAATAAAAATGTCTGTTCGTTCTCCAGTGATACCATTCACATGCAAACAATGCACAAATACGCAATCATTTTATGATTTAGACTCTTAATTAAATTGACTTTCAGGTATGTGGGGAAGAGTGACTCGCGATTAAATTTTAAAGGAGACTCGAAGGAGAAAGAGGAAAAACAACAAAACTAGTTATGGAAAAATGGAATCTAAAAATGAGCCGCGTACACAGAAATAACAACCATTTATATTCTCAAAATCAAGGCGATTGATAAAAATTTCAAAAAAGAGTTTCCAAAAGAAATAACATGGAAAGATCATTGTAACTCTTACTCTTTGTCCAACGCTAAGGGCTGAACGCGTATCTAGGCACGAAATATAAAATACTCGACCGATATATACAAGTAAGTGAAAAAATCACTTATCGTATACCACAGAGGAATTTGTATGCTCATTCATGGTCGTTCGAACTACACACAATCTTCGAATTCATATAAATGTATATATATATATATATATATATATATATATATATATATATATATATTGAACCAATCTTAATCCTCGTGGGTGAAGTTCTTTAATCTGGGTAGATCTCTCTCGGGGCGTTTGACCAACTTGCATCTAATATAACACAACTATGGATCAGGTCAGTCCCAATAGTTTATTGTTTAATCTGGATCAGAGAGGCACCGCAAAATGCAAAGCAATTTGGCAGCCTTAAAGGTGATACAAATATCTCTAGTCAGGTAGCGAATTAAAATTTCACTTCTAGCATCTTTTATGAATGAAAACTAAGAAACGGTTTCCGTATTAGTATCCGATATTTTTTCAATCATATTCGTTTCGATTAACCGACCTGGGTATCTGTTTGCACGTAAGGTGTTTCTAATGGGCATCGTCCAACACCTCTTCAGAGCTGACTTCCCTATCTTTGGATTCCTGATGATTCACCAAGTTACATTTCTCTTCGATGCTAATGGTACTAATGTAGTATTGGTATACGGGACACTCTGTAGGATTTTTCCATTCACTTGTTATTCTATTCGATCAATTTCCGTTAAAGTTGAAAGACATCCAGTCATCAAGTAAATAAGGCCCAGTACAGCAACAGCCTAAGGACGTTGACCGCTTACCGATTAGTTCATTAAGTCCAACTCCCTTGACCAGTGATCGATCAAGGCCGAATAAATACACAATCCAGTCACCCCAATGGCGTAAGCTAATTCAACCAGTCAAATGGCAAAAGCAAGTCGTCTGTGACAAACAACACAATGGTTTTACCTTAATGCTTCTTCCACACTCTGTTACGGGTTTCTTTAAAGCAATAATTAGTTGTGTTTTGATAGCATACTTGATTACGTTACCGAACCGCCTGCCTCAGCTCTGTGTATTCACAGAATGTACTCAGCGTATTCGTCAATCCAGATAAGTTATATTCTTCATTTTTAATATAATCTGCTATTTGCGGAAAGTCAAACAAATTATATAGATTCCTTTTGTCTACACTCCGATCGTGAAAGAAATTGCCGGCCAGCAAGTATATTCTTTTTCTGTCATTCATTGTGGCGCATCTTCTGCTCTACTCTGTTGATTTACGGAGTTCACACAATGAGTGATTCCAGGTCATACACGCCGTTTTCTGCTTCAATTATTCCGCAATGCTTTGTGCATCATACTTTGCGAGGACAGCTGGTAAATTGCGCTCTAGCAGCAGAGCAAAGCGTGAGTTGTAAATGAGACGGCTGCTAATGCACCCCGGTCCTTAGTTGATTTTCTCCTTCCTTTTCAAAATTCAAGTGTTTAATAACCTAAAACTAATTTCTCTTGAGTAATCGTGGTAAGGAAAATGTCCTATTTATTCAAATACGATGGAAATGTTTGTGATGACCAACAAAGAGCACTGGACAGCTGTTTCGTCCTGTTTCGGACTCGTCAGCAGTGCGTACATTTTGTGTCCCTGTCAGGACTCGAACCGTGATCAGTCGGGTCGGGACTTCAAACCCTCACCTCTGAGCTACTCGGTCGACGGTTATCACCTTGTGCAAGTGGCTCAATCAATTTTTAGATGATTAAGCTTGTATTAGCCCATCCGATTGCTCAGAGGCACCAGGCATTCTTGATGGTCTCCGGTGTGGCTTTCACTCCTTGGGAAATGGTGAATTCCCACTGTTTGTTGGTTATCACAAACATTTCCAACGCATTTGAATGCATACAAACAGTGGGGAATTAACCATCTCCCAAGGAGTGAAACCCACACCGAAGACCATCAAGAGTGCCTGGTGACTCTGAGCAATCGAATGGGCTAATCCAAGCTCGACACTCTAAAAAAATGCTCCTATTTATATTTTTCTAAATTGTCGTAGGGGTTAACGATAGCCGCTTGTCTTCTAAATGAACTGCAGTTATTTATCATTCACCAGAAACCCTCATGCATTTTTCGGTACTTATATTCATGTAATTTTGGCCCTTCTAAATTCACTGATATTGGTTTTTGCCTGGATACATATATTCCTGCTTCCATGACACAATCACTGAATGCTGTCATTTTTTACCATCTAAAATTGCCCAGAGAAAGAGTATTCGAAATCTGTTTACAAAATGAGTAAGCATGCAAAATATCAAGTATTCTTTTAAAGCAGGTTAAAAATTTGCAAGATTGTTGACTATTTTGTACATCTCTTCTGACTGTAATTCATATGACAGCTTTAATTTTCCGCCATAAGGTGATTATTTTGGTTAATTCAATGTTACTCAAAAGCTCTATTTGGTCGGACAAACATTACCCTTTTCCAGTTTGATGCAAAACCTATACCCTTGATTCCTTATGTGACACGAGGCTAATGTTATTGAACGGGTAATCTCCTCAAAAGAAAAAGACCTGCATTGAAACAAAACAATCACCACCATTTTTCCCATGGTTTGATCAAAAACAACCAAATGAATTCACCTTTTTAAACCCAGGAGATGTCCAGTAGTCCTTTAGCCATTGTTGAACTCGTCCAAGGGTACTCTCATTCCGAAATATCATGCCTGGTTTGACACATGAAAACGATAAATTTCGACCGGACCAACCACATTTCCGTGTTGTATTTCCTATCTGTCGACAAACTGCATCACATTTGTCAATCTCCAGTCCATCATCGTAAATGATCCATTCTGTTTGCAGGACGGGACTCATCTTATTCGTGTTGAGTGCCGGAAAAACAAGTTGTATGATGGACGGACGAAGGATCAATCCAAACCACTTTGGCTGGATACGAATATACAACTTGAGTAAATTCCCAGGAAAAGTTGATACGTTTACCGAGTCTGATAAACTGAATAAATATTGTATTTCAAATTTATTCGTGGTACTAGACAACACGTCCGATTCTGAAGTGACGATATAGAAATGAAAGAAAGAGTTGAAAGCTGGCGTGTTTCAATGAAAGAGATATCACGTTTCGTAAGCATGAAGTTCACGAAGACTCAAGCAGTACTACAGAAAACTGCGGAAATTCCTGTTATTTATGAATCGCTTTACTATCAACAGCAACTCCACAATTTAACATCGCAGAATACACTGTCCGGATAACACATTAATTCATAACAGAAGAGCACAACAGTAAAAAATTTCCATAGTATTTCTGGGACACATTAATGGAGTGACGATGGAGTCAGACCAAATGGAAGTATCTTTTGGCTTGATTTCATGGGTCAACAAAATGTCTATAGAAAGGCTCATAGAATGTTATCGATAGAATGAATGTCAACAAAAACTACAACGAAGAGCAGTACATTCAGAGAAAATAACGAATAAAATTCGTGGAGCTATGTGTGAAAAAATACTTCCCATTCGATGGAAAGCTCTGATGGCAGGTCCGTGGACCTCTCATGGGTTATTCATTTTGAGGCCAACTGGTTAATGCTTCTATGAAACAATTCGAGTCCGACACATTTAAAACTTTAACAGCTCATCGGTGGATACGATATGTGGATGGCACATCTGTGATTCTCTGGAACTTCACGGATAGACTAGGGTTGTCAATAATTTAAGCAACCAGTACTCTTAGTACTGACTTCACACGGGAGGAAGGGGAATTTACTAAACTTTACCTTCTCGATAACTTCAGCATGAAGCAGTTGGACACGAAAACACAAACTGTAGTCTGCCAGGTGGACTGACCGCATCAAAAATCACGAGAGCAACCACCCATTTTGCCATCTGGAAATGTGTATTCCAACTTTATTTCGCAGAAAACTGCATACTGACAAATGAAGGAGCAATGGGCACATGAATAAAGTAACCTCTTCTATTTATTCTCATTGTAAGTTTACCCATAGGATTTAATCATCGCGTGCATGGACGGTAGTAAAGCATCCAGGCGCAAAGAATAGGAGGTTAGGGTAAGGCTAGTTTACATTCGTTGCACGTTAGAAGCTAACGAGTACGTAATTTGACGGTTAGGGATCAAAATAGTCAACAAACGATCGCTACCGCTAGATTTATATTTTCTTTAACTAGTTCCATTTTGGAGCTAAAAATCACAATAAATAGCTCACAACTCTTTCCGTGTCGCACTTTGTGTCATTATTCGGTTGTTTATACATTATGCGCTTTACTAAAAATATTTTTAGTCAGGTTCAACAACGGCTTGAGCTGGCTTTCCCTTTCGGAGAACACACTAAGCACAGTTTGCCTGAATATCGCGTACTGCTTTTGGAAAAGATAAACAAAAATCCGAAGTTTATTGTGTTTACACATTGGGTTCGGTTGTTGGTGCAAAGCAACTAGTGAAATAACGAGTGATCATGGTGATTCATGGGTCTTGGATAGTTGCATGTTGCAATGCTTCATCGAGCTACAACATGAAATAATCGATAATTGGAGTACAAACAGATTAAGATGGAAGAGCGTTTCAGATGAGGCCGCCTAAAACGCCGAAAAGGAACTTCTGTAATCTATCAGAATAATCTGAAATACCGGGGGATTTCATTTAAGGTCTGCATTCCTGTATAGCTTTAGTAGAGCACAGGTTAGATCGATGTAATGTCTGCTGATCGGAGATCAGATGTTCAAAAATTTGGCTATATTGAAATAGAAAGAATCTTAGTTGATTTAGCCTATCGAAATATGTTTTGATTGTGGCTTTATGAAAGTTTGAGTTATTAACCTTTGAGGACGTTTGAACAATGCAAGATGAATTTAACCTGAACTTCAAACATGGTTTGCTGTCAAATATATTGATAGCAAATGTACACATTGGTCTGTGTAGAATGATCCAAAAACACTTTTGAGCATTCTAGCTTGTTTTAGAGGCATTACATAATGTTTAGAACATCCGAAGCGCTCCCAACCATGCGCTGGGTCCGGAGTTCAAATCCCAGACAGTACGGTGAATGTGCAGTACTGGTGAGTTTCATTGAGAGAGAAACTTTAGTCCAGTGCTTCGGAGTGTATAGTTGAAGTCTAAAGGATGGTCAGTTAAAACTGAAATCCTCTAATCCTTCTTTTTAGACCCTGGTAATGGCTAAATTTTAACTACATACAGTGACACCATGATACAACCTTGTATTTAGCAACGTTGAATTTCATTTTATTATTAATAGATCATCAGTAAACTTAAACAAATGTTTTCTGTATTGTTATGTAATCTATCGTATGTTATGCTCACCTCCATACGTTGGTTCTATTAGGCTGTGTCCGGGAAAAATATGTTTCCTCCGTTGTTGTAGTACTGGCAACTTTATTTGATCCCACAATGACACAATCGCATCTGATTATCACAAAAACACTCCAGTCAGTTGGAGCAAATTAAACATTTATCACACTCACTTGTCTGATTATCAAGTATGAATAATGTGTCATATGTAGAATTTGGTTGCATTGCACTCGCGAATGCGTTGAACACCACTACAGGCGCATATTTAGGATGTCGAATCGAAGGAACCATGACCCGTTCTTTCACGGAGTAACTTGATTTGAATGAACATTCCGATGAATCCACAGTGAAGAATCCCACATCCAAGCTTCTTGCCAGAAAATACAGTTTGCATTTTGTCCAGAGCATCATAGTCAGGTCAACTATCACATCGGGATAGGGACGCTCATTTCGTTGAATCCCTCTGATTACTGATGAAGAAATAAAGAGGTTGGTGCAAATGGATTTTGAAACACACTCACTATGAAAAGAATGCATACAATTGTTTGCTGTAGTTGTGTGATAGAGCAATCCGATTGACTCCATCGTAGTAATCATTTGCTCCCTTTTTGTCTGAGAGATGAGACTCTATCTGACAGCGTGTGATCAAGGAAAACGATGTCATGAAATCTACCGTATCGGTAGTGGACAATGGTCAAGTAGTGTTGATCACGATCACACCATCCCGAATATCGTGCGCTGGAATCCCACCATCACCATCACCACCACCACCGACGTCCAGATACTCCTTCGCTTTATATCCCTTACGTATCATATGCTGGACTGCGTTCCTCTTAAAAATTTTGCCAACTGTCATGCATCTAATCAGGAAGAATTGGAGTAATGAATGTTATAGATACGTAATTTTTTTAGTACTTGTCTATAGGATCCCGAGGAGGGAAGTTTCTGCCCTATAGATCGATGAATTCTATCAGTATCCAGCAGTCCTATCCTTCAGAGTTATCAGTTGTTAATTGCTGTCGTTTGTCGTTTGTACTCCCGGAAAGCGTGCGCATAAGTGATATTTGCACCGTTTTATATAATCTGAATCATCTTTGAACCATTTCACCTCAGTGTTACAAGTTCAGTCTACTTCAACATTGATAAAAACCAATGGAAGTTCGGCAGTGTGGAACACAAGTGCTTTATATAAAGTATACTTTACCCTTGCCTGACGAAGCTGAATGGTGAATCAGTGGCGTATTTCTTTCCAGCCAATCGTATACCAATTGGTGTAATATTAGTAAACGATTTTATTTTATTGAGCGTTCAAAGCCAAACTGAGATGAAGACTAACGTAAATTTCACTTGCAAACCACTGGCTTCAAACACTTCCCAAACTTACAAGGTAAGCAACCTTGCATCCCGTTTAAAACTGGATATGGGTACTTTTGCAGCACTATACACATACGTTTAGTACAGTTGGTTCCCAGACCCCATGTCTCTTTCAGCGCAATGGATCAAAAACATCGGTAGCATTACAATGGCACTGGATAGCTAGATCGCATTATCCCCTCCCAAAGGGGGGCTCAATTTCTGATAAAGTCCGGATTGTATAATTAAAATTTCATTAGGCACAAGCTGTTGGAATCGTGACTGGTAACCAACCAACCAAATAAAAAAAGAAAGAAGAACCGGGATTCAAATTCAACAGAAAGTCTTAAAAAACGCGCAATCTATGACACTTCATACGAGGTGAACCAGATTTGATGTGTTCAAATAATTTCTGTTGTGACTAACATCATAATTGAGTTTGAAAAATGTGCATCTGATGTTTAGCAAACTATCCCTTTAGGATTTCTCTGATTTCTCTGTTGCTATTTAAAAACAAAAATGTCTCCTAATGAATGGCAATTAGTGGTGTGCTCTTAACCACTTGAAAGAGAGTCGAGGAATCAAGGAAATTGAGCGAAATTGAGTGAAATTGAGCAACAAAAATACCCCCAGCGTACGATATAACTCACAAGATAAGCTGAAATTTGCTGTCGCGTTCGCTTGATTTGCTTTGATGGTTTGATGCTCCATCACTATTTCATGTCCCATTTGTGTACGCAACTCTGACAAGGCAAAATCAGCTGCTTTTCGCAGATCCGAGCGAGGGGCATCTGTGATAACCACTTCAAAGTAAGATACAAGAAACAGACTGCGATTCACAATTGCAGCAATCACAAAATTAATTTATCCAACCCCTTAGGCTATTTCATTTTCAGTTGGTCTTTTTAGTATGTCGCATATATTCTCAAATTAAATCTAAACCACATAGATCTAACGAACTCAAAACTTAGTAGACACACGTTTAAGTTAAAAACTATGTTTACGCCCCAGCTACTTCCACGGTGAATAGTGCGTATTATGCTACTATAATACTATGCGCGTGATTAGATGAAAGGCAAAATAAATAGCACGAAACTGGTTGAAAAGACTGTTTTCGTGAAGATAAATTAATTTTCCACTTATGCTGCTGAGTCAGAAATACAGAGAAAGCATAACGGCTATTGTGTAGGATTTCAAATCATCTAAGCCAGCCAATATACCTTAGAGACCAAACAGTTTCGGTACGTTGAGCACCTACTTTGTTGGGATAAATTTAAAGCTTTCCATCTTCGGACGTCTCCGACATGACTGTTCCTCTTTAGTTAACTCATCGAACGAACACCTCTAAGTGGTAATTGTCAATGGGGACGTGACCAGTACGATATGACATAAATATGAACAGATGATTATTGAAAACGCATAGCATACAGTCGCATGTGATACGAAACCGAATTGATTCATTGGAGGAGCAAATTCCAGTTGGACCTATTTCACAAACGAAAAACCATTTCATGATAGTCACACAAATGATTCCACATAGAAAGCTTACTCTCGTACTATGATTTCACTATTCACACATTGTACAAAAACTAACCAATAACTAAGATTCATTATCCAAGACGACTCAATACTTACGTAAAGTATAAGCTCCGATATAATTGGCACACCATAAGCACAGTGCACTCACGTACAAAACAACGAGACCAGAGCCATACATGTCTCTCACTGTATCGGAAACGTTTGTTAGTGTGACACAATGCACGGTTGACAGAAAAAGAAATACTTTTATGATGGAGCGATTTACGGTCACCAACACCTCTTTAAATGACCTGTTACATGTGGTTCACATGACAACATTATGTGTCCAAAGATCTCATTGAATGTATTTTCAAAGGGAGGGGGTTGTAACCAATGTCAACGGTAATCCATTCGATCCATTCACTCATCGACTATTTAATTAGACCATTGAACGCTACCATTACCTTTGGATTGAACTGGCTAATTAATCTACATTTTTTCACCTCACGATGTTCTTTCATGACCAAATCTGAGGTTAGGCTTTCATAAGAAAAAAAGCAAGTTTAGTTTCTTCGATTGTTTTCTTCGACGGAAATTTCAATTTATCAGGAAAATATGTTGCGCTGAAAGTTCTTTTCTTAATTATTCCAGTGTTCTAGTTCGTCGAAAATTCCTAATTTTTCGCTGTTTGACGGCCCAGAGTCTGTGACTTTTAAATGAACCAATGGCTATGATTATGTAAGAATGTTTTCCACTATATGATATCTAAAAGCATGACTAGGAATATACGAAAACAATTGTTCGCTCACCGACTCGTTTTCTCAATGCTATCATGAGAATATTCAAGCTTTTAAGATCGCTCAAGGATCTCTGTGTGGTTGAGGAACTGAACACGTTTCTGAAATTTTCCACTCGCCTTGCGGAAGCTAACACTCATGTGGACTTTTTACATAATTGTGTGAATAACAATGAATACCCCAGTCGTTACTGGAAACAACTTCGCCGAGATCGCATCTATCCCAACAGCAAAACGCTCAGGAGACATGTGTTAAGTTTTTGTGATTCATTGAAATTTAAAACTGCGAAATTTGACCGGAACATCCTACAGCGGCAGCATTTTGTGGAAGACTTACCGGAGAATGAACGATTGGAGTTCGACATTTTCGTAAGTCAAATCTGTACGCGTCGCGTCCAGATCATTCGAGAACGTTTATTACGGGATTCACATAAGGTTGCTCAGATGTCCACTTTTCCCAATAAACCAGAGAGATTCGTGCATAATTTGTCGGATAGGCAGCTATCTTCTATAGAAATAGAAGTCCTATCACTGGGATGGAAGTTTTGTTGCCCAGAAAGACAGTTAACCGAATCNCGCCTTCTTGACGCACGTCAACCTAGACCGACCGGCAGCGAACAATGAAATACGACTCGTAACGAGACGTGAACTTAATGCAAGCCGACGCAGAGACCGCGAGATCTGGTGGTCTCAACGCGCATCAGAGATGGAACGTGCTGCCGCCATCGGGTAATTCCCGTAAGCTATTCCATNTGACATGGGCTAGAGGCATGAAGAAGCTGGCTTCAGCTCTGGCTTCGGTTAGTGCAACCCGCCTTCCAGTTTGGGGCCCGAGGGTTGAGGATTGTCGCTGGTCAGAGACGCTGAGAGATGTGGCCCAGAATAGAAGTCAGTGGCGCGAATGCTGTACGGTCTGCCTGTCGAATCCCGTGCCCCTTAAGAAAAACGAAACATCAAACAACGCCAAAAAATTGCAAAAGGTGTACGGTGAAACACAAAAAATTCTGTTATCTTGTATTTTCCCATATTTAACTGTTTTACCCACTTTTCACTGTGTTCTGTATCTTAATCCACCTATTCCCTTCCACTGTCATTGTTGTTGCGTTGGTACCATGCTTGTTCTTCAGGCCGGTGGGAAATACATATATATATATATACACACTATATAGTAGAAAAAAGTCTTACATAATGATAGCCATAGGATCATTTAAAGGTCAATATTAAGACTAATTATGCACGAATCTCTCTGACTGATTGGGAAAAGTGGAATATTCAAGCTTTTAAGATCGCTCAAAGATCCCTGTGTGGTTAAGGAACTGAACACATTCCTGAAATTTTCCACTCGCCTTGAGGAAGCTAAAACTCATGTGGACTTTTTACATAATTGTGTGAATAACAATTAATACCCCAGTCATTACTGGAAACAACTTCGCAAAGATCGCATCTATCCCAACAGCAAAACCCTCAGGAGACGTGTCGAGTGTTTGTGATTCATTGAAATTTAAAACTGCGGAATTTGAACGGAGCATCCTACAGCGGCAGCATTTTGTGGACGATTTACCGGAGAATGAACGATTGGAATTCGACATATTCGTAAGTCAAATCTATACGCGTCGCGTCCAGATTATTCGAGAACATTTATTACGGGATTCCCATAACTTTGCACAGATGTCCACTTTTCCCAATAAACCAGAGAGATTCGTGCATAATTTGTCGGATAGGCAGCTATCTTCTATAGAAATAGAAGTCCTATCACTGGGATGGAAGTTTTGTTGCCCAGAAAGACAGTTAACCGAATCGATTTGGAGGTGCAATTCGAAAGCCTGATGGGTCAAACAAAGGATTTGATACCTAATTCAGACGAGGATTTGCTGGTGACAAGCTGCTGTAAGTACCGAAAGGTACACATACACAACCGCAGACTGCTTAAACGTTAGTATATAAACGCATTGAGGGAACTCCAAAAGAACAAAGACATCATGCTGCTCAAACCAAATAAAGGCACCAGGGTGGTTATTATAAACAAAAATGATTATGTTCGAAAGCTCTCTGAAATAATTTCGGATGACAAAAAGTTCTCTGGATGCAGCAAAGAAAAGGATGAGACAGAAAAGGTAGAGGGTGAAATCACCGATCTTCTAAAGGCGCTAAAGTTACAGGGGCACATAGACAATGAAGATTCATAAAGAAGGAGTTCCAATAAGACCTATTATGGCAATGGTAAATTCACCATATCACGCAATGGCGTAGTGGTTGGTCGAATTATTAGAACCCATTCGTCGTAGACTCGCCACACACAGTCTCCGAGACAGTGTCCAGTTTGTAGGCAAAATAAAAGACCTGGACCTGCAAGAAAAGACGATATTTTCCTTAGATGTTCTGTTCACTAATGTACCGCTGCTGAAGACAGCGGGATTCATTTGTGATCAAATAAAAGCACTAAATGTGGACGTTGGTATTCCGGTCACTAACCTAAAGGAACTGCTATTACGCTGCACATGTAACGTCCAGTTTCTACTTAACGGTACTATCTATCGCCAGATGGACGGGGTTGCTATGGGATCGCCACTTGGTCCGTTGCTAGCTGACTTCTTCGTGGCCAAACTGGAAAGGAGCACGCTGAGCCAAACTATTGAAGGATTGGCACACTACGGTAGATATATGGATGATATCTTCTGGGTGACCGATTGTAAGCATGACATCCAACAGATATTGAAATTGTTTAACGAAGCATATCCATCACTGGAATTCACTGTAGAGGTTGAGACGAACAACATATTGGCCTTTCTGGATGTGGCCGTGTCCAGAAAAGCAGATGGATCAGTAAGAAGACAGATCCACAGAAAGAAAACATGGAA